CCATGGTCCCGGATGAAAGATCTTGACCCACTGGGCATCTGGTTGTTGAGGGTCCGGGCACCATTCCAGCCACGCCATGTCAACGCAACCACGGAAAGACAAGTTGATAGTTGTACGGCTGCAGACAACAACGAGTGAAAGCAAATCAACTATCATAATGCAAAAGACCACTTTTGTAGCACTGTGCGGCGCCAGCATCAAAGTCAGACTCTCCAGGAAGGTGAGGACGGGCATCAGCTATCATGTGAATTAGATGATGCCGAGGAGGAGGTCAATCCAGCATACATGAGGTCCGGTGCACCCGAAGCGAAAACTGGCCTCGCTATGCTGGGATGTGGCCGACCCAGGCGTTGGTACCCCCTGGTGACCCAGTCCCTGTAATACCAAGTGTAGAAGGTGGCGTAGGATACCGGTTGTAGAACCGTGCCTGTGGCTGTGCCGCCCGTGCTTTCCCTGGGCCAGTACACTTCGAAGTGGTGGACCTTGCGCCATTCCCGATAGGTGGTCGGGTCATCCGGGGCCGGTCCCAGGGTGTCAGGGGCAACTGGATGCCACTGACCCGGTACATAGATTCGAATCCATTCCACACTCGTTCCTGCTGGCCCATTGACGATGTCATAGTCAATATAGCGAGGTAGGACCCATCGTGCTACACCCTGCACCGTACTATTGAACATTACAACCCGACAAGCTGCCCAAAGTTATCACGGAAAGCGGCAGGCACATAGAGACGACATGCACAGCACCAAGCAAGCCAACCCAATGTGAACTCACATACAAAGCAAGCACAACCGCATCTTTATCCAACATGCTACTCAAGTGTCAATCCGAATCATCCCAAGGGTCATGGAATGGCGGCGGTGACGGTTCCCGCCACGCCCCATCCGGTGCCGACGAGCCCACCGAGGACTCGACGTCTGCATTGACGAGCATCGCGAATCCGATGGACTGTACAGGAGGTCCAAGTCGTTGGTACCCTCGTGTTTGCCAGTTTCGGTACTCCCACACGTGGTAGGAGACATAGGAACTGGGCGTGGCTATAGGATCCATTGTGGTGCCTCCGGTGCTGTCTTCAGACCAGTACACTTGGAAGTGATATGATCTGCGCCACTCCCGATACGTGGAGGCGTAAAGTGGGTCAGGAACTGGCGCCTCCTCAGGAACGGGCCTCCAAATGCCCGGAGAGTAAATTCGAATCCATTCCACTCCTCTGTCGATCTGGTACTCGAAATACTGGGGGTTCATAGCAGCAATACGGGCGTGTACGACTGCTAAACCAGGCGAAAGTCTGCGGCAAGGACACACATGCATTGCCAACCGCACATATCCGTTGAAGAGCAAGGCAACTTTTCAAACACAAGGTGAAACACAGCAACGTGGTCTGAAATGTCTGACTCCTAGCTTTCACTGTCGTTGATGTCGCACACACCTGCAATGATAGTGACCTGGTCGTCTACGAGCACAAGGGGAAAGACATTTCCGTCCATGGCGCAGGATGGCGTGACAGTAATGCTTGCATGTTGCCGATGGGGATTGCGATAGACGGCCAGCACGCTTGGAATAAAACACTGTAAAGGGCCGTCGAGATCGCCGCGGCGCTCCAGCTGATGCTGTCCGAGATCGTTTGGACGAGCGCCCTGGACTGCGTGGTTCTTCATCACGGGAAGGGTCAGTGCTGTAGATCGAGCGGCGTGTGCGCTGCGATTTCGAAGAGGTAGGGCAGGATTGTCCGCGGGGGGCTGAGATCGAGGGGCTGCGTACCGAGGGCATAAACTGTGGGTGTAGAATCACCGGTGGTGGTGGTGGTGGTGGAGGAGGAGGTGGAAGAAGCAATGGCAGACTTGGCGGGGGCGGAGGCGACGTAGTCAGCCAAATGGGTCTGTCGAGTAGAGCCCCGGGTCCATGAAATTGTAACCACGTCGGCTGCGCTCCATGGGTCCAGGTAATGTACGTCTGTACAACTTGTTCTGACATGATTTGAGCAACTCAGGCAAGACATCACTGCATGTCAACGACATCTCGCGACACGACAAGCAAGATTGAGTCACGTGCAAGCAAGCAAGTATCATGTGATCAACAACTCAAACCGGACACACCGCCGCCGCTTATCATTTGGTCCATCAATGGGCGCTGCTGCATTTGCCGGGCTTGTTCCTAGCTGCGAGCCTCAAGTTGTTGATAGACCTTCCATGCCTGCTTGACTTCCTCAATCGGCTTCTGAAGAAACCGCGCAATGGTCTTATAGGTGGGCCTGGAATCTTTATCTTTCTTCCGTCTCACCATTTCATCCAGCTCGCCCTGTGTCCATGCCGTGAAAGGTTCACGGTATGCATTGCGAAGTGCAATGGTGAATTCTTGTAGAAGTTCCCGAGGACCATGAACCACCGTCGGCGACGGCCGGAACGACGAGGCACCTGGATGCGGACGTATCGAACCGTCAGAATCCGAATCATGTGTCGTAGGCGTCGTCTGTCCTGGCTCTCGTCCACCGTGTGCCACGAAAGGGGCAAGGGGACGAGGCGGTGGCAGCCGATCCAACATAGATTCGGGCCGAGTACCAGGATTGTGGTCACTAGCATCACGATGTGCCGCTCGAGGCGGGGACAAAGCCGGTATGTACCAGGTAGATGACGTGTCCACCGGTCGAGCCCGAATGCGTGTGGGGGATCGAGATCTGTCAGATGAGGCGTGCTCCGTAATGATGCGGGGCCGTAACCCATGTCTGGAGTTTCTTGGCGCTCTCGGGGTCACCACCGTGTCTGTCGGACGACCACGCTCCGTCATCAAGGCAAAGTTCAGGGTGTCCAAAGCTGTCGCAACTTGGGATGCAAGGACATTGAGCACAGCCACCAGGTTATTCACAAACTCAGCTGACAACTGCATGGCAACCGATCAAACCACAAGGTCAACTCAAGCAAAGCTGCAAAGCGATAATGCTGCGGCATGACAGAGATATGGTGCATGCAAGCATGAATGTAGCAAACGCTGAGGTACTTTTGTCGCTGTTGCTCCGTCACCGTTCATAAGACAGACCTGATGGTCGGCAAGCTGGCATGGCTTTGACCGCCGGTGGATACTTAGGAGTGTGAGCGTGACGGCGAACCACGGGAACCGCATCAACAGGACGGTCTGGGAGCCGTCGATGATGGCTGCGGGATCGTGTCCGGTGCGGCTCTCGATGCCTAGATCTTCGCCTTCGTCTGTGTTCCCAGGAGGTGCTGACACTCACCGTGCGTACGTGAGCAGGGTGCTCCGCACGGCTATCCGTGGTGGCCACGAGAGTGACCGGCGTTGCCATGTGGTCAGATCTGACCGATGTTGCTGGCAAGTGCGGCGGCGCCGTGGACGGCGGAGGCAGCGGCGGGGGATGAACTTCCGGAATCGGTGGCGGTGGGGGCGGCTGTGGATGTCGCTGCTGGCCTTCAAGACGCTGCAGTCCAGCCAGAAGTAAACTGATCTGCGATGACATAGCGAGTAGCATATGCCGACAATCGCGTAGCAGATCCCCATGATCCATCACAATCCCGGAAAGATGAGACACCCAGGGCCAAATCAACCAGTGATGACCAAAAACGGCGACGGCAAGCAACAGAAGGCAGACAACCAATCATGCAAGCAACACCGTAAACGGAAACATCAAAGTCAACCATGAGCCGCGGACAACTCAATGCGTTTTTCCGGAAGAGGAGCGTCATGATGTACATCATGAAAAACAAAGCGTACACCACGTCGGGTCAGTAGCAACGCTATTGTACTGGCATGCCACCATGGTTCACCAGAAGATGCCCATGTAGCTGGGCACTGCGATCGAAGATCTTAGTTTCCACCTGCCATCCTTGGCATGAATACAGTCATAGTAGTGGGAGGCTGCTATGTCCGCGCACACGCCGCCGCGGGGTATAGTGCAATGCTGTTGTCGGAGACGAGCAGAGCCACCAATGCACACCGGGCGGTCCGTCCGGATTCCACCGAACTGCGCTGCAGCTTGGATTGCCGCTTCCTGAGACTGGAGGCTGCCTCTGCAGTAGAATCCCATCGGAGGCAACCAGACTTCGTTCCAGTTGGAGCATTCACGATTGGGGGAAGGG